TTCGGACCACCCAGTATATCTTTCAAAATAATATCTATAATTTCAATAACTCTATCAAAATAATTGAATATCTAGTTACCGGTATCGGCTAGACGGGTGACTTAATAATAATTTTTCATTTAATGATTAATGCAATAATTGGGATTTTAAACGCTAACTATAATTGAAAAATTGACGTTTGTGAGACTTCTAGAAGTACCTTAGACTTTTGATTGGTCGTCTCATTATTAAAAGTGAAGAAGTTGTTTGTCCACCCTGTATACCGTATAATCCATTGATCATTCTTTAATTAACTTTTTAGCGTGAATCGTTTTTGAAAAACTTGTGTAATGCTGTGATTTTGTTTCACTCTATAATAACCAAGTAGTATATTTACAGGAAACCTTTAGAGCTTTTTTGCCTTGAAAACCTTGGACATTGTTTTGGACAACCTTTGTTTTGCTTTCCTTGTTGATGTTTAACAGTTAGGTCCCGTTGGAATGAGTACTTTTAGTATTTTTATTTATTACTTTTTTTTATAATACCTTAGAGTATTTAGGTTTGGTTTGATTCTTAGTTTTATTTATTTTAATTAAATTTATGTTATTGATTGTAAATAAGTTTTCATTGTACTTCGTGTCTGTCAGGTAAAAATAAATAAAGAAATAAATAACGCCAATCCAAAAAAAATATGTGAAAAACTTCTCTTAATTTTAATAAATCAATATTCCCTTAATTTTTGTTGCGTTTATCCATTTACACCCTCTATTTAATAAAACACGTAGTATAGAACAAATAAATTTAAAAAACAGCATTTAAGATAACAAAAAATTACAAATTTATAGAAACAGCAATGTTTACGGAAGTACTTGTGATATAGGTTATCTTGAGTTCGTATTTATAATTTGATTTCTAAAATGCTACTCGTATAATATAGGTAATGATTTTATTAATTTACTGTTATTATATTGATTTTAAATAGGGAAATTAAAATAACTTTCATTGCACATCATAATACGACCACCAGCAAAGTCCATAAACCGACGCATGGTGTCATTGATGACGTGCAACGAAAGTTGTTCCAATTTCCCAGTGTATTTCGTCTTTTTATGAAGAAAAGAGGTAAATGGCTAAATTTTATGTTTAAAATTATAAATTGTTGTTGTTCTTGTGCTCTTTTTACATTTATATTATTGTTTTGATTGAAAATGGCTCAGCAAGCTGCAGGTATGTATTCTACAAAAACGTATTATTTATTTTGATATTCTCTATACTAACGATTTTTTTTGCAACTAAAAGTTAGGCGTTCAGAAAATTTGATTAAATTTGTGACATTTTTATTATACTTAGAGATTTAGTTGCGCATTTCGTAGAATTCAGCATATTGTCTATATACGTTTTACTTAGTAAACATTGGGCTTTCATACAGTAAAATAAAATACTGCGACTTTTTGCGACTTTGCTGATAAAATGAGAAAAACATTCTTGGTTTCCTCAATTTGCCAATCAGTGATATACTCATGCGAGGTGTAAACCGCGATGGCATTGTTGTGTACAAAGCGATCGTATTAGTGCCATTAGCAGTATAGCACAATTTGGCATTAGTAGCGACTTTAGTGGTATGGGCATTGCTCGCGGATCGTAGCATTAGTAGTATTAGTTGCGATATTACTACTGGCATTAGTGGCATTGACCGTGGAAACACTGGAACAGTGATTTTTCTTTCTTTTTTTAGAATCGACGAATTATCCTTTGTTTTGTTCATATTATTTCTTCTTTAATTGAAAATAGCAATAATTTATATAAGGTCTACATAAAAAAATTTCGATCAACTATCTATGTCAAATACCCCAGTGTGCGTCGGATAGGGTAGTTAGTTTAGTGAAGTTTAGTGAAGTGACTAGGATCTTCATAAAAAGACCGAATACACTATGAGACTACGACAGATGACATGATATAATTTGCACTGATACCATGGCAAATGAAAACATTAACTCATTGCAGGTATCAGAAAAGAATTAACCATTATTATTTCAATAATTTTTTCTTTTATATTCACTCAAGTTAATAATAAGAACACGTTTTACTTTTTATTTCACCTATTTCATTAGTAACTAATCACCTATTATTTAAACATCTATTTGATATTATTCTTTATCTTTTACAGATAATATTTTATGTAATTTGAAAATCTGTTATAATCTGGTAATAAACAGGAACAGTAGGTATATAAAAATTCTCCGTAAGTATTTCAGATATTTCATAACTGCAAAATAAGTACCGAGATGATTGATGGAGAAAATCGCGAGATTTTTTAAAGATAACGTATGTAACGTATAAATAATGGATAATAATTTATTACATAACCTGTCTGTGTGCCAAATTTTAGGAACTTGATCAACCTAAATTGGAAAACAAGTTTTAAACCGTTTTAGTATTTTCAGAAAAATGTAGTAAACTTATGAATTTAAAACCTTGAATATAGTGAGGACGACTCATGTTAGCTCAATATCAGTCAAGTTTCCTGTCTCAAAAACTTTTAACTACCCCATTTTTTACAAAATGGTAACTATAGTACGGAAGTGCACAGTTTATTAAAGTTCGTAATTTTTTAGATGCAAATGTCCACCCCATCTTGTCTTGGAATTTTTAGGTTATCCTTATACCGGGTGTTTTTCAAAAGTGGTTCCCCCTATAACTTTTTTATTTTTTCAGATAAAAAAATAATTTGGATTGGATTTAGATAAAAAAAAGACTGGATATTTTTTTACTTTATTTGATAGAAAATGGCATTCTGAATAGAATGATATATCGTAGTTCAACTTTTGACATATTCACTTAAAAAAATAGTATTTTAAATGTCAATCTAGTAGTGCCATGGCAGTGCTAAAACTATTGCTTTTTAATCAAGGAGCCTTGGAAAAATAGATTTGTTCGTCTAATGTTTTTGTGACTTTTCCTGGCCGTTTGAAAGAGGCCCGAATACGATTAATTATTAAGAATACGATTTTTCTTAATTATAAATCACATTGGAAAAGGCATTTTTTACAAATAATCTGGTACCACACACTTGTATTTCGAATCAAACATAGATAAATAAAACAAGTTTAGATTGGAAAGTGCCCATAAGGAGAATGTAAACACTATTTGGCGCTATTCTTGCAACGGTCGCGATCCAAAGTTTGTGATAATTTCGGATCGGTTCGGTTTTGTTCCGGAATTATGTCGCCAAATACTATTTATTCAAATTTATTATTATTTTCTTTTAATTTTATAAATAAAATACAGTGTGTTGAATAGAAGAAACTTTATTTTATATAAGAACATGTATGTGAAATACCTATGAAACATTGGACGTTATGCCACGATCCACGATGGTTTTTGCAGTTCAGAGTTCACAACACACTAAGTAAAATTTAAATTAAAAAAAATTTAAATTAAACTAACAATATAGCAATAATTACTTTGAGAATGGACACTTTAAACACTTTTCAGCATTTTTTCAATTAGGGCGGTTTAAATTTTAAAAGATTTTATAATTTTTGAAGATTCTGACTTTGACAAGAGAAAATTATTTCTGTTATTGTTTGCGGTTGTTCTTGGCAACCGCTATAGCAGCGCCAGATCGCGTACAACGGTCGCGACCCAAAACAATTATATATTTTGACGGGCTTTCCAATCTAAATTTATTTCCTTTATCTATGGAGTCAAATTGTTGTCTGACACTGCCATGGCATAAAAATGTCAAAAGTTGACATTTGCGATGTCATTTTATTCAGAATGTGAGAATGTTCTATCGAAGAAAGTATTGAGAGTACGGTTTAAAAATCAAAAGATGTAGTCATTCCTGGCGAAACAGGAAATGACCGAAAATAATATAATACGTCAATCAATTCTGATTTATGTCGTATATTAGCTTGCAAAATTTCGATTTGTTCTGTCTGAAAAAGTAAAAAATTAGTGTGAACCACTTTTGAAAAACACCCGGTATGTAGTTTTTCGAAAAAGTAATGTATCACAATTCATTTACACAATTAAGGGTGCGTCTCAAAAGTGGCTCACCACTATAACTTTTTTATTATTTCTAGATAAAACAAGTTGTTATGATTGTCGTTGTTTTAAACAACGAGATTTGTGGTATGTTAATATATGACATAAATTAGGATTGATTGACATATTCAATTATTTTCGGTCGCTTCCGGTTTCACCGGAAATGACTACAACTTTTGATTTTTAAATGACACCCTCGGTATTTTTTACTTTATTAAATAGAAAATGACACTGTGAATAGAATGACATATCATAAATCAACTTTTGACATTTTCGTATATGGTTTATTTGAAATTGTAACATGCGGTTCATAACGACAATTTGACTCGAAATACCAAGTGTGTGGTATCAAATTATTCGTAAAAAATGCTTTTTCCAAATATGTTAATGAGCCCCCCTCGTTCCCTTTAAAAAAAATTGAGATATGATTAAAAATACGATTTAGGCATTTTTAACCGGCCAAGACAAGGCACTGAAAACATTTAGACAATCAAATGTATTTTTCCAAGGCTCCTTGATTAAAAATTAGTGTTTTAGTACTATGGAACTCTAGATTGAAATATAAAATACAATTTGTTTTTCAGCGAATATATCAAAAGTTGACATATGATATGTCATTCTATTCAGAGTATCATTTTACATCGAATAAAGTAAAAAAATACCGAAGGTACCATTTAAAAATCAAAAGTTCTAGTCATTTCCGGTGAAACGGAAAGTGACCGAAACAATTGAATACGTCAATCAATCCTAATTTATCTCATATACTAACATACCAAATATCGGTTTTTTATCTGAAAAAATAAGAAAGTTATAGGGGTGAGCTACTTTTGAGACGCGCCCGGTATAAAAGAAATAACCCGAAAAAAGAACTAATAGAATTATTGACCAAAATTATCGATTTGAATTAAATGACTTGTGTAAAACAGTAAGGTATTATTAAAACGTTGCTTTTTTTTAAAGAAATATCTCACCTCAAACTTCGAACTTGGTCCCTCAACTCCTCCACCTCCGGCCCATTAAACACCGTCTTCCTCACGTTCTCCTCGATACTCCTCAAATCCTCCGTCCTCCTCTCCACCAGCGCCTTCACTTGTTTACTCAGCACGCTCAGATCGTAATCGTTCACCACGAATTTCCGAGAAAACCGCCTCTCCGACTCATCGGTAACCTCGTACGCATCGCTACTTTCAGACCGGTCCTCGTATACCGCATCTTCCTCACCTGCCACTACAGCCGCGCGACATAAAACGGCAACAACGCAGTACGCCGCCGCGTACCGTACAATGGGCAGCATCGTGTTGTTGCCGGACTTGGTATTTTTTCCGACCTTTCGAACGCCGAGCTTAACGACAGACTGAGTCGCTTCTTCGGGGAGCCGTTTGGTTTTATGATGTTGGGGAGCGAGATGGAGATACGAGGGTGGACGAGGGCCAGAGGGAGAGAGGTAGAGATGAAAAGGTGTTGTGCGATGGGGCAGGTGTTTTGGTGAAAAAGACGCGATGCGTGTGTTCGTTTAGTGGTATTTTTATTGGGGTATTTTCGGTTGGTTTCGAGCAGTTTTCGAGTCGATCTTCGATCGGGATAAAGTTTTTAATTTGGTTTATGCAAAATAGAATCAGTAGTTAATGTATTTCTTATTTTTTAATTGTCTAACAGTCTAACCCTTGATCGCTGATTATAATGAAAAATGATATCCAGACACAGGGACTGATATATTCCTTTTTTTTTGGATGGAGATAAATTTAAAATAAATATGGGAATATAAAATACTCAATACTAATAATAAAAAAATATTAATTTGAAAAACAAGACACTTTGAATTCCCTGACTTACGATTTTAAATAGTATGAAAGCTCTGAAGGGAAATTCGATACAATATATAGCCTACGCGCTAAAAGTGAAAACAATACATACAGTTCAGACCGAATAAACTTTTAGTCACGTGATTAACCTTGCGATTTTTAAATTCATTGTTGCCAACCATGGACATATTCGGCGCCGTGCTGACTAACTGGAATTTAAATTTCGCTCTGTAGGTATTCAGGCGGTAGCTCTGCTGTAAAAAATGTCAAATTGCCGCACTTATTTATTTATTTCCTGACATTGTCATTCGTTTTGACACTTACTCACTGGGGTACGTGTTGTGCGACTCAATTTGACCGCATTTTCAAGCTCCAGAAGAGAGCTGTTCGATATTCACTGGGACTAAACAGCAGAACTCATTGCCGGGACTTTTTTAAAGAATTAAAAATATTGACTCTTCCTATATTTGAATCCGTTTGCGTAATACGTAAACATGTATCAGCTTCTCAAGAAAGGCCATCTCACACTTATCCACTCAGGAACGCGAAGCAAGATCTTTATCTACCTACGCTCAGAGTTAGTTAAAAGTTCAATATTATACAACTCGAAAAAATTCACAATCACCATGCCATTTGAAATCAAATCCATAACATCATTTTTTTCATTTCGCAAAGCATTGAACTCTTATTTACTAGTCAAGGCTTTCTACGCCGTAAATGAGTTATATTTTGAAAATCGAATTTGATCTTGTAAACACTGGTCTAGTGTTTGCTATTGCTATATTTACTAATGACATCGAAATGAATTTATTTAGAGGTCATTGATATTTTACTATAAACTAGCTAAATATTTTTGAATATTATTTTTATTTTTTTGTTCTTTGACATTGTAAACATTTATAAATGTTTATTTTAACAATACGACTGACTATATTATTTGTATAATGTTTTGTATTATCTTTTGTTTGTTTGTTTGTGTACCTTGTTTTTTTACTTTGTTTGTTAGTTTACCTTTGTCTACAAATAGAAAAATGTACCTCTCATTCAAGTTGACTGCTACGTAGATTATTGTTCAGAAATAAGGATTCGAATCGAGAAGGCCCGTGCAATCCTTTGTGAAGATCAAGAAGCTTCTCTGTAGCCGCGACCTGAGCTTGGAGCTGAGAATACTGATGCTTAAAGTGCTATGTATTCCCAGTCCTCTTGTACGGTGTTGTAGAAGCTTGGACCGTCAACGCATAGAGCGAAGACTCGAAGCCTTTGAAATAACGCATGTGACCAATGTAGAGGTCCCGAGAAGAATGGAGTAAAAAGAAGAAAACAATCAATATCTCCACATCATGAGAGGTTCAAAGTATGAGATCCTCCAACTCATAATTCAGGGAAAAATTATAGGTAAAAGATCTATTTGAAAGAGAAGAGTATCTTGGCTTAGGAACCTGCGAAAATTAGTGATAGGAAAATCCGATGAACTTTAATAATCGAGTACTCGAGTTTCAAGCGATTTCAATAATCGATCTCTCGAGTAAAATTTCGCTTGTATTTAAATATACGGTTTTTCGCCGTCGCTTGTACTTGTATCCGTAACGCCAAGAAGTAAGCTGCGCGCGCAGAGCGCATATTCTTTCGATGATAATGGCAAGCGACAAGCGAAGAGCGACGAGTAGTTTCGCTTGATCATAAATCGAAGCTTTGTCGATGTAGGTGGTAAAGTTTTGTCACACAGTTACGTGTAACAGATAACGTCGTATAGTCCTATAATTATTAACAATGTGGTCCCAATCAAAAGAATAATCTGTTGTTTGAAGATATTTTACCAAAAATACTGATAAAATATTGTCAATCTGCAATGTATATAGCAAATTCGCTCGATAGCATCGCTTGCTTTCGTCGCGCGTTCATAATCGAGCAATGTCGGTTATTTCAATAATCGAGTATTCGAGCGGATTTTCGCTTGCGTTATCCCATCACTAGCGAAAATGGTTTAACGTTACATCATCTGACTTATTTAGGGACGCAGCTTCCAAAGTTAGAATAGCTATGATGATAGCCCACCTCCGAAATGGAGATGGTACATGTAGAAGAAGAAAAAAACTAAGCATTGGACCTGCGAATGTCGTATTTTAAAGAAATTTGTCTGACTTTTACTACTAATTGTTAGCAGTCGCTAGTGAGAGTAACATTTACTACAAGTTGACAGTAAAATTGAATCTATCGTAAGAATAATATTATAGGAAGCGCGTTGGTGTAAATTGAAACAAATAAAACTCTTAAGAACATTCACCTCCATATTTAAACTGATCCATCTTTAAAATTATAATTACAAGATAACGATTAAAATTAATTCTTAAGCTCATAAAGTTACCAAAATAAAATGTAAACAGATGTCGGACTGTTAATTTCTTCGGGCTAATCTAAAATCTAAATTTTGACGAGACCATTGTCAGGTAGATGATTTTTTTTGAGAATGTTAAGTATTATAAGCTACTTTTAATGTGTGTGTTTTAGCTTCCACTGTGGGGTCTTCGTATAATAGTGTAATAAAACAACCAATATTTCTGAATACTTATATCTAGTGACGTTGACTTAGTTCTGAGAAGATACACGGGGCGGCAAAAAAGTCCGCCACCTTAAAATTTTTGTCAGATTTTTATGTCTTCTGTAACAGTCAAATTTCCTCGCAACGACCTCTGTGTGCTAGCTCATAAATTATCGCAAATAACTATTATTTTTGCATCATGTTTACTATAATTTTATTGTTAAATATTATTTTATTTAAATTTTACAATTATGCAACCCGATATACACCGCGATATACAGTTATAGATACACAATATTGTCACTGGACCAGGCACACTAGCAGTAGTAGGCTTTTTTGTCCATCTCTCTATACCTTTGATCATCACCTCCGTCACTTGTCACTGTCAGATCAAAATCAGATGTTTTTGGATTTATTTATCCTTGGTTTTGGTTATTGAAATTTTATAATTAATCAGATAAAATTCGTGGTTAAATTGGTTATTTTTGATGTGGATCACAGTGTGCAATTCGTTCTTTTAATTGTGGAATTTCTGAGTTTAGTTCGTTCATTGACCGCATATGGAATATGGCTGAGGATAAAATATTCTAGAACATCGGTTTTTATTTATGCCTTTTTGTGAGTTGGACTAGTCAAGATATAGTTCTCTATCTATATCCTGAAGGGAGATTTCGGGTTGAAATCTGATTTTGTGAAGGAAATCGAATCCTTGCATCGCTTCTTGTGTATCCACCGTCAGAATATCGTCGTGAAGAACTGGCTGCCGTTTCGTGAAGCATTCCATGTTGGTGAATAGCAGGTTTTCGTAAAGAAGGATTAAGCTTGCGAAACACATTTGGTCAGAGACGTGGTTGGATTTTGTTGAATTTACATGGACCATCGACCAATTTCCGTAAGGGATTAAATAGCCAAATTTTTCTGACCGATATTCCGATTGCCCAAGAAGTCCCCGAGCAGTTCCAAGGTATGCTATATATCTTCCTGCCTATCTAAGTCAATGCTCAACTGATTTTTGTTCATATTGTTGTCTGGTTTTCGACTTTCCACGCCCACGTGGTGTAAAGATTAGTTGAGTGTTATCTTTCTTAAGTCCTATTTGGTTGTTCGTAATTGTAGAGCAAGAAGACCGATCCAGACTGTACAGCACAGAACAGTCCAGAATTCATCCGTTCCTGTATGCCCGTGTGTAGACCGTTGGACATCGTAAACCCTCGTTGAGGTAAAGTTCAGATCTAATTAGTCCCTCTTTATTACCTTTATTAACTCCTACACGTTGTGATAGTCCTTGTTCTAAAATTGAGGCTCTTTTCTAAGATAACCAATATTATTTAGGGTTTTTTATGTTCACCTTTTGAAGTCCTACACCTGCCTGTACATTTGCTGAAGGGCTCTAGTGACAGTACCCCGAGCTGCTGTACACCGCCGTAGCAACCCTGTAGCTATAAGCCGTAGCTCAGCCGGAGGAAGTTTTCAATATCACATCGAGTAGAGTAAGACTGTACAATTTTAGTTTAGATTTAGTTTGATATTTGTAATCCACCAGGATATTATTACTTAGTTTAAGTAAGGGGGATTATGACATCATACTTTTAGTTAGTTTTCTTGATTTAAATTTTATTCTACTTTTCAACGTTTATTCATTTCCATTTTTTTAAATATTAACTTTTAATATTTTAATAAATTGCTTAAATATTTTTAGTAGTATTATTTACAGTCTAGTCTCATAGTTAAGTTAGAGTCACTTATGTTTAACGAATTATAGTAATATTTGAAGTTCATGATAGTTGCACTCAACAGTTCGAGGTTAGTGTTGAAGTCTACTTATTAGTTACATCTTTATTGCCGAGTTCATAGAGTATAATCTCGTGGCGCCCTTTTATTAATATCTTTGAACCCCGACCACCCGGCTGTTAAAATTAAAAAGCTAGTGGCTAAGCTAAAATTAAAAAGCCTCTATGTAACTCATTGCCGATTAAGTAAACTTATTGAACTTCAAATTAGAAAGGGCGTGGC